CGCGCTGCCTGGGCCGGCGCTCCCCGAATAAAGACCCGGCGAGGCCGGGGCGTCTGGCGCTGTCCCCGCGGCCTGCGGCAGGGCGGGCCCGGAAAGGCCCCCGGAAGAATTTATCGCGCGTAGTGTCAGGCAGTTAACCGTATTTCCCCGGATCATGGTATACTAAATTAAACTGAATATTCAAGACGATCTGCTGTTTACACGGCTGAGATGTACAGTCCGCATAACTTTTATCTCTTACGTAGCAAAAAAGTGTTGCAAGCCAAGTCAAAAAATATATTGCTCAATGCTGCCATCTCCAGGACAGTTCAAAACTGTCTCCGTTCATTTTTTGGGCATTCAGGAGAGAGGACCCGCTCCTGCGTTTTACCTCCTGGGTTTTTGTTGGGCTTCCCCCCCCGCCCCTCCCGTTCCTCTTGCCTCCGCCCGCCCCATGCCGTGAGGTGGATCTTTGCCCCGGCCGTTACTGGCTCTGCCCTGCCCGAACAGGCGGTGCCACCTCGGTTAGAGGTGAAAGTGTGATAGCAAAGCTCATACCTGCTCTTAAGGTTGAAACGCAATACAGAATGATAGTCTTGTTTGGATTTATGGAGGTCCACACATGGAAAAAAATCAGAATAATCATGGAATCCTAGAATGGTTTGTGTCGGAAGGGACCTTAAAGATCCTCTCGTTCCAACCCCCTGCCACGGGCAGGGACACCTTCCTTGCTCACAGCCCCGTCCAGCCTGGCCTTGAGCACTGCCAGGGAGGGGGCAGCCACAGCTGCTCTGGGCAACCTGTGCCAGGGCCTCACCACCCTCACGGTGAAAAACTTCTTCCTTACATCTAATCTCAATCTACCCTCTTTCAGTTTAAAACCACTACCCCTTGTCCTATCTTTATGTGCCCTTGTAAAAAGTCCCTCTCTGGCTTTCTTGTAGGCCCCCTTAAGTTAGAGGCTTTTCTAATGAATCTGTGTTACAAAATTAGTCGTCAGGGAGATCATGGTTGTACAACTGGAACAAGAAGTTAGCTGGTCAAAAGGTGAAAAATTCTCCTGAACCAGCTGCAGAAAAACACAGGGAAGCCAGAGAGGACAACAGGCAGCACTGCAAGCCACCCTTTCACCCTAGAGATAATACCCTAACACATAGCCTTGTTTAAAGGTGTTTACCAAACACCAGATGACAGTTTGTAATGTAGGAGCAGAGTCTAGCTGGTAAAACACCAGGAATGAGAGGACAGATAATAATAATACACACTGTAACAATAACCTATATCATCACCTCATTCTTTCCTCCACTTCACACTGTAGTTCCTTGTGACAAAACCAAATATTTGTATTGAAAATAAATCCATTATGTGTATCTTGAGATAAAGTTTACTACAAACCACACATACTTCCATCTTCAACAAGTAGAATGACAGGAAATTGCTCCCCCAGCTCATGCCATGGAGCAGCAGGACAGAACTGCAGCCTCAAGGCATATTAACATCAGTTATCGTGACTGTCATTAATGACAAGGTATGTTTTGTAGGCACCATCAACATACACACTGCCCTGTACATGCTAAAAAGGCAGTGAGTCCTGGGGCAAGAAATATCTCCTAAACCTCCTCTCCCTGTCCCTTCACAAGCATAGAAATGCATGTTTGTGCACAGAATATATGTAACACACTTCTGTAATTAAATGCTTTGCCCATACTAGGTAAGATTATTAATATTGAATAATAACTTGTATTTGTTATGCCCCATTCTTTCCTTTGGCAAGTGATACACTGATATGCACATGTAAGAGGAATGATCTCTTGATGGAGAATAATAACCACCTGATTTGCATTGTGTTGCACAAGGGAACATGGATTTGTGGGTATGAGACAGTCCTAGAATCACAGTATCTCAAGCTGGAAGAGACTCCTATGGATCATTGAGTCCAACTTTCTGCTCCTCACAGGGCTACCTAGAACTAAGCCATATGACTAAGAGCATCGTCTAGACATTCCTTGAACTCTTGACAGGCTTGGTGTCATAAACACTTCCCTGGGGAGCCTGTTCCAGTGACCGACCACCCTCTCAGTGAAGAATCCTTTTCTAATGTCCAGTGTGAACTTCCCCTGATGCAACTTTATTCCATTCATACCATGTCCTGGCCACAGTATGGGGACAGACAGTCTATTTAAATGTGCTCCATTCACCTTGGGAACATTCTCTTCAATTAGAACTGATTTTGCAGATAGTGACATTTGGCTATTCTTATCTGGTTTTCAAGGGGATTCAGTAAATGTCCCAGAAGAGTTTTCAAACTTACACAGATTCATGTCCTTCATCCAGCAGAAATAACAGGTGAAAACTAATACTTGAAGCACATTTTGAAAACTCTTTTTTTTTTTTTAAAGATAGTTTGCATCACACCAGACCACATCTTGGAATTGTTTTCTTGCTCTTTGAGTTCCAAAGCACTTTTCTATAAGGTACACAACTGTGCACACCAGCACACCAAAGAGAAGAATGTGCTCTTGCTTTTCCTATTTAAATACTCCTCCTGCTTTGACAGTGAGCTATTGAGAATTCAGGCTATGCAATTAATCGCAAAAGGAGTTCACATACTAGAATATCCTGGCAGAAAATCAAGATGTTTCATTCCCTGTATAAATACCCATAGCTATCACACTACATCACCGTCTCTCTGTACAAGAAATTCAGGTTCAGTAAACATGAATGAAATGGAGGATGCTATTTTAGTATCCATGTCCAAACCCTAAATTCCATACAACCAAGTTTCTGCAGTACCCTCCATCTCCATGTTCAGACCACACACCTCAGAATATATTGGAACTAACCATATTTTGGAGACAATATAATTATTTCATATAGAGAAGGGAAAGAAGTATAATGAACAGATAAGGATCAAAGTTCTTGGTTTTTATCTGCCTTAGTAAGTGGTTGAAGATTAATTTAGCACAGGGTAATCCTATGAAGCATAAGGTGCTTTAAACAATTAGTTTCTATTGTGTCACTACTGAACCTGGCAGAGAGATAGGTAAGGGCCATGAGATAATCAAAACTTGTGTTTTGGTAATGCTGCACTGGTGGAATGGCATCTCAGGAAGGCCACTAAGTATCCAAAAGTAATTAAAGATGTAGTGCTGCTCTAAATTACAACAAAGACTAGTTTTCTCATGAAGCCACCTTTACCTGTTCACACAGAGACTCTCAGCTAGCTGGGGAAAAAAAAAAAAAAAAGAGGGTTTGGATAAATGATATTTCTAGCTTCTTGTGGCTTTTTTTTAACATTTAAATGAAAAATTGAGTGAAAGTAGGAGTTCAGACTAAACATGCACCCTTAATGCAGACCCTTAATGACATCCCCAATAGCAGCCCACTCCTATTGCACCCAAACAAGGTGAGCAGGGCAAGCCAATGACAGAAACCAGAATCACAGAATAGCTGAGGTTGTGAGGAAACTGGAGATTGTCTAATCCACCCCCTGCCCCCATTTTAAGCAGAGTAAAGCACAGCAAGCTGCTCGGGTCCTTCTCCAGTTGGGTTTTTAATATCTCCATAAGTAGAGATCCCACAGCTTCTCTGGGCACCCTCACATCAAGAAAAATTTTTCTTACATTTAAATAGAATTCCCCGTATTTCATTTTGTGCCCATTGCCATTTGTTCTGACACCGGGCACCACGGTGAAGAGCTGGGCTCTCTGTCCCTCCCATCACATCGACAAAGTTATGTTCTGGCCCTTGTTCCAAGGTTGATTTGATTGCATATTTTATTTGTTTAAGCTCATTTGTAGTATTTACTTTTCTACATTCAACAGCAAGGATGAAACTTGCATAACTCCTCCTTCAAAAATAGCGTGGTTGACTCTAAACTAGTTAAATCATTACTTAAGTAAACAAGCTGTTTAATTTCTCTGTTAAAGGAATGGTAGTAATATCATGACTATGTTGGAAATGCAAAACAACAGATCTTACATCCCTGACTTCTACTGTCATCTGAGGCAAATCTAGAACACATATGGAATGACTAATCAGACTCTTCAAATGTATTACATTATGAACAGTAAGCATATCTGATTGTTAGCAGCTGTATTCCACTATTACAGTAACGAGAACTAGACAAGTCTAAGTCATCATTTCCATACTTATTAGGGTTGTTTCTATAGTGTATTACCTAGTTCATGTGTAAAACAGTTTTACTTATATCAGCATTTAGACAGAGCGCATACTTTAATTATATGAAATATTTAAGTTATGTTCTAGTGGTCAATTAACCAACTTTCATCTTAAAAAACAAACTTAATTCATGCAGATCATATTTTTTTGTATTTTTCTACCTCCCTATGTACCTTCGTATGTCTCTGTTTAAAGAAGCCAGAAAAGATAAAATATAATTCCTATGCTTTCCATGAGGGAATATGGATATCCCACTGAAGTATCACTAAACTAACAGGAAGCTAAGCATTACTTTCAGATAATTCCCAGACTACGCTGATCAACCTTCAGCTCTGCATCTATTATCTTTAGATTTCCATCTTGTAATACATTCAGAAAAGGTTTCGATGTTTCACAGACTTTTTTTTTTTTTTTGCTTTAATCTGTTTCCTTCACCACACACAAAACTGCCTGGAGCATGACTTTCAGAAGGGAAGTTACGGAATCTTTTATCCAATTTATAATAATTTTTGTCTCTGCTTTGCTTAAAGCAATAGTCTCAAGCAGTTTTTGACTAAGGGAGTTTCATAAGTCCATGGGGTTTTGTTTTGGTTTTTACTGCTGTGACAAAGTCCACAGAGGTATGAAAATGAAAGCCAAATAGAAGGTTTTGCCCATGGTTACTTGGTGATAGCAGCGTATCTTGGTCTTGCTGAGTCAGCTTTATTTCATCTTCTAGGTGTCACGGTGTTTAACCATCAATAGCAGCTAAAGCAGATGGTAATGTGTATGTTATTGGCAGCA